GAAATTTGGCATATTTTATATTCTGTGTATTATTTTTGCTGTATGTTTAATTCTGCAAATAAACAGAAACTGCACTAAATTGGCAGAAAAATGCATTTTTAACTTAGCCAGATTAACAGAGAATGTGTTGACTTATTTTCACCTCAACAAAATCTGTAATTTGACTTGTGTCGGAGGTTAAACTTTTGCATATGACTATACATATACTGTTGTACGGAGGTTTGGAATCACTTGCCATATTGACAATTTCCTATGCAATTACAACTTGTACAGTGTAGATTTAAGTATTACAGACTTTGTTAAAAATTATTTTCAGATGTTTGTCAGTATTTAAAAAATCTGAACTTTTTTTTTGTTTTTGTCTAATTAACTTTCAGAGACTTTTGAAATATGATGAATTCTAGTTTTTTTTTTTATTCTCACTTTATTCTCAAAGCTTTATAGCTCCTTCAGTCTTCTACAGCTCTGTTCTGAAATTCAGTCTGTTTGGGTCATCATTCTGAAGATTTTTTTTTTTTACCACAATTATCTTCCAGTACTTTTATGATTCCACTATCGCACATCATCGCACTGTGAGGTTATCCTTCTTATGTGTGTATACACCACGTGTTTTTCCTCAGCGTAGACAGAGCATCTCATTACCCTCCGCTGCTTGTGTGAAACTCTGAGCTCTAATGTTATCTAATCCCCACTCGCCCCCTGATCTAATAGTGACACAAGTAAACAAACGTAGCTCTGCTGTATCTGGCTGTCTGGTTCATATGCTCTGCTCTCCGTGAGCTCTGTTTCTTTGAATGAGGGAGGTGTGTGCTGTTGCTGAGCCTGAGAGGATCTGCTTAACTCTTAAGTCAGACATACACTGTACATTCTTCGCTCATATTAAAGCCTGATTTAGTTGTAGACAATTTTTGTAATTTTGCTTCTGTACACCATAAAAATGGATTTTAAATGAAGCAGTCAAGATGTGAGGCCTTTACTGCAGCTGTCTTTAGTTGCTACATGTTTGTGGGACTTTCTGCCTTCATTTTTATCTTCAGTAAGTGAAAGCAAGCATTTAAGAACATTCAATTTCTTTGCCTTAAGAAGCTCGTAGGTTGCTTTTGTGGTGTGTTTTGGGTCATTATCGATCTCTCCTATGGGTTTTGCAGCATTTGACTGAATCTGAGCAGAAAGCATGTCTCTGTACACTTCAGAATACATCCTGATACTTCTGTCAGCAGTCACATCAATAAACATTAATGACCCAGTTCCATACATGCCCATGCCATAACACTGCCTTGAGAGTTGTTGTGGTATGCTTTGGATCATGAGAGACTTTCCTTCTCCATGCTCTTCTCTTCCCATCATTGTGGTACAGGTTAATTTTCGTTTTATCTGTACAAAAAATCCTGTTCTAGTAGTATGCTGGCTTTTTTAGATGTTTTAAGTCTTACCTGACCTTTCTGTTCTTGAGTGGTTTCCATCTTGAGAAAAACCCTCTGTATTCACATTCATGAAGGCATTTCTTGATTGTAGATGCCAATAATCTGCTAACCTCCTCTAGAATGTCCTTGACTTGACTAAAGGTTGTGATGGGGTTTTTCTTCCCTATGGGAAGAATTCTGTGATCATCCTCTTTAGTTGTCTTCCCTGGTCTTCCAGGTCTTCTAGTGTTGCTGAGCTCGCCAGTGCATTCCTTCTTTATAAGAATGTGCCAAATTATTGATTTGGCCACTCCTAAAGTTTCTGCTGTCTTTCTGAAAGGTCTGTTTTTGTTTTTCAAGCCTAATGATGGCCCCCTTTATACATGTTTACACCTCTTTGGATGCATTTTGAGAGTTCCCACGAACAGCTACCAAATGCATGTTCAGCACTTTAGAACTCCAGACCTTTTATCTCCTTAATTTGTCATGAAATTACGAGGGAACAGACCACACCTGGCCATGAAACTGCCAACTGTTGAGTTACTTTTGAGCCTGTGAAAATGAAGGGACTGTGCAAAAATGACTGTAATTCCTAAACAGTTAATGTTTTTTGTTAAACCCAAAATGAAAAATTGCCACTATCCAAATACTTACAGACCTGGCTGTATGGTCAATAATGTTGGAATTCTGAAGTATCAACATTAATAAAGTGTCTTTGTAAAATAGGCTGTAGAGAGACTGTGATGTCCCACACATGTACATTATCTCCTGGTTTTAGTTTCAGCACACAATGTGGCACAAGTTAGCAAAGCTGCTGTACGGTTTCTATTTTTTCTTTTGAGCGCTCTGGTGCACAGTGGGTTGTTTTGTATGAAACAGCTTTATTGGAAACTGTCTGAAGACAGAGCTATCTGTAGGATTTGTGCTTCATGTGCAGTGTGAGCACCCGCATCACAGCATATCAGTTGGGCCAAGCGTTTTTGTACAGTAGGTGTGCACAAAATTGTAGAATTGCACCACAGTAACGACTGTAATAACTTGTCCTGTCTGAGTTAAGGAGAGCGAGTGTACCAGAGTGATGATACAGCATGTGGAAACATTTTAGCAGTGCAAATGTAAAGAATGGAGCAGCCACTAAAGTGTAGTTAAAAGAGGAAAGGGAAAAAAAATAAAGTGGCACATTGTTGGCACTCAGGAGTCTGTACCACGTGCCTGAAGGAAAGGGCTGAAATATGAGGGTGTGAGATGTAGTGGGTAAGAGGAGCCAGAGGATTTTTGAAGCTCTTTCCTTGATGAAGATATTGTGACTATTTTGTAACCATTTCTTACTTAGTTCATTGAAACCAGCAGAGAAATCATATTGAAAGTACGTATTTGAAACGTTCCATTTGTTGACACATTTGTGCTTGAAAATTAAAGACAAGAAATTTTATTATGATTTACATTTGATGAAAAGTTACTTTCATGCAGTCATTTTGCGGAAAGAGCAACCATCCTTTACAGTTTCGCTGTGCACTTTGGATAAAATGATTCAAGAGATTTTCCATACAGCTCATGGACTCCTGCTTCTGTTATTCACTGCCTTCAACAGCCTTTGACGGATAAATAAGAAATGCCCTGTTTTTTCTATTGCGCTTATTGTTTAGAAAAAGACTATTCTGATGTTCAAAAAATCGTTTAATTAGAGGTTTCAGTGGGGTGCTTGTGCCTTGTGGTGTTAACTGGCACGTTAATTAGCACTAATAGTTGTTTGTGTTGGATTGGTGGCTGGGCTGTTGAATATGTGAGCTGAAAGAAAACATTTGCCTGTCTTATTTCTGCGAAAAAGCACAAACAAATAATGGCCTTATCGCTGCTTAGTTATTCAGAGTTGCACTGAAGGAAGTTGTTGGTTGTGGACAGCTTCCTGTCCAGCTGAGTGTGGGCGAGTTTGCCGCTGAGAGGTCGCTCCTAGGCCTTGTGGCTTAATGCCGGCTTTGTACGGCCACTTTTGCGTCACAGATATGATTTTATTAAGTCATGGGTAAGGGATGAAAGGAGGGTTTTCTCCTCTGTGCTATGAAAAATCCATGTGACCAGACCCTTGGTCAGTGTGGGGTCAGAAGGGCATCCTGGAGCCTGTGGGTGAGCCAGCGATGTGACGTCTTACCAACAGCACAGACGCAGCGGCTCAGTCTAGCCTCTTTTTACCTCTGCAGTTCATTAGAAAAGAAGCAGAGGACTGGAAGTAACTACCAAACTTTACAATGTCTGGCTGTTTCCGGCTCATGGGGGGTCTGTGTGATTCACCTTGGCCCAACTGTGCCCTCACAAAAAAGCCAGCTAGCCAAATAGGTGGACCATGATTCACACTGTCCTTTAGACATGTAATGATGCACATATTTTCAGATTCGCTACAAGTGTTGATTCTGAGGTTAAGACTCAAGCTCTAATTATACGCTACACAGATTGGCTTGGCTCAGATAAATAGAAACTTTTAAATAGAAATTTTCAACGCCTGCTGTGCTGCCTTCGCACAAAATAATCCTCAAAAATCCCTAGAAAAAGTGTTCACCAGCCCTGGTCCTGCCGAAGGCCTTGATTGGCTGGATAAGATGCATTAGTGTTGGCGACAGCACATTAGGCTATGTTCAGGCTGACAACCCAAATCCAATTTTTAGCGTATCCAGATTGATTATTGATAGTCTGGACAGCTAAAAACCACATAAAATCTGATTTTTGCAAATCTGATCCAAACCACATTTGGAGGTAGAAATACGATTCCAATTGGATTTTTCCTGATGTGTTTACTGCTCTGGCCATTCAGATTTCAATGTGCCTTTTTCATCACTCGCAATACTACAAACAACAACGATGTCAAATCCAGAGAAACGGAAGTGCTGGGATTCAAGAAGCGCACCGAAGATTCATGCTTATGCCAGAGAATTTTGAAGAGTTTGAAGGCCGAGATGATGCACCTCCATTTCTCCAGCATCTGCTTTGAAATCCATGTCACCAGTGTAGCTATGTAGTTACTGATGCCTACGTTGTTAGCCTAGCAATGCAGATAGGTTGGTGATGTCTGGATACACAAACCTGATCTGATCACTTGCAAACAATAGTGCTGGCAGTCGTCTCAAAAGATCTGTTTTGAGAAACAAATCCGATTTGCCTGCAGTCTGAACACAGCCTTTGATACAGGTTGGACCTTGGTTGTTATTGTGATGATGATGATGATGATGATTATGATGATGATATTATAAATTAGTTTTTATGTTTCTTTGTAACACTAATAATTATTCATTATATTTATTCTTATATTGTAAAGAGAGTGTCATTTAAAAAACAATGCTGTCTTTCCATTTGTAGCAATTTTTGATGTACTTTTTTGCTGGTGTATAACAGAAAACACATTTTATTTCTCTAATAATGGGAGTATTAATCATAAAATAGCATTGATATTTCTTATTTGTGTAAAGCCGACTTCAAACAGTGAATATCTTGAAAAGATAGAAAATTCTGGAAAGAGGTCTTGAATGTGTTTTGTACAGAAACTCTTCAATTATAATTATTATTTATTAAAATAATAAATCTCTCTCTCTCTCTGTTTTCCTGTAGTTGATGTGAGTGCAGCTCTGCCCATTCCTGTGCCTCCGGCTGCCATCCCGATGGACCTGCGTGTGGACCAGCAGCAGCAGCACATGTCGAGGGCGTCAGTGGATACTGGTCAGTGTGAGCAGCAGCTGCAGCAGGAGCTTCTGGCCCTCAAACAGAAGCAGCAGGTTCAGCGGCAGCTGCTGATCGCAGAGTTCCAGAGACAACACGAGCAGCTCTCGCGCCAGCATGAGGCCCAGCTGCAGGAGCACATCAAGGTAAGGCTCTAACCCCTTCTCTCACTCCTCTCTATCCTGTACTTCTCCTCTTCTGATCTACAGCCTCTCTGTTCCTTTTCCTTTCCCTGCTGTGCACTGGTCAGTGCTGGATGTTTTAATGGACTTGTCCATTCAGTCTTATCTAGGCTTCCCTTTGCTTTCCTTAAACCTGGTTTACTGACCAAATGTGCAGAATTTTTATTTTTCCCTATTTTTTCTTGATCTGTCATGTTTGGTGTAAATTTGTTTGTTTAATTTTGTGCTGGAGCTGCTAAATTTTGTCATAAAATTAAAAAGCTGAAAGTTGTTATAAAATTAAATCATAAGTACAGAGAGAATGCGGACTGCGAGGTGGGTGCTGCTACTGTACCTACTACATATGAAATATTATAAATAACCACAGTATACGGTCTAATAAACGACAGTTTTTTTTGTTTATTTGGGCATTTCAGTTGAATTTGATACACAAAAATATCTGAAAATGAAAAATATTAAAATAACCACCGCCATCAAGTTTATGAAGAGTTCGTTAAATGATACCAAGATCAACGTCTTTTCCATCAAATCTATAGAGTGTAAAATGATCTTGATGTTTACCAGTGCTTTTCTGTGACCCCTCCTATGTACTATTGCAGCAGTCTTTCTACATTTCCTTCTTTGGTTTAAACAGATAAGAGACTATAACCAAAACGTACAACGCTGACTCTTCACTAATGGAATACAGAGTTCGGATATCTCATGGTTCTTAACTATGTGAATTAATAACATTTAAGAGAAGCTAATTTGTGTGTTAAAAATCATAATTTACTGTTTGATTCTTTCATGACAAATTGAATATTGAAAATTCTGACCCAGCCCATTTTTAAATATGCAGTTTGTGTGATGGTAATTGGTGACATTTAAGCATCCATTGTTTGTTACCTACACAGCTCCATTTCTGAACTAAAGAACTAAACTTCAGACGCTCAACAAGTCTTGAGTGATCGATTACATTTGAGGGAGGGGGAAAATTGTGTAAATTAGATTTTTTGCTTTAAGCTATCATTTATAATGTGAATGAACGTGAGTTTTGTGTTATGGTACTCTGTCTGAGTGTTCTGGATGTGTACGCATGTGTATGCGTTTGAGATTTGTGTATCTCCACAGCCAGCATGCTATGTGTCTGCGTGTGTTTTAAGGTTTGTGTGCGGCCATGTGTGTGTGTGGCTGTGGTTTCCTGAATCCGTGCTGCTGTCAGTGGTGTCCTGTCTGAGGCCTCAGCGTAAAGCCTATGATTGCAGAGTGGAATGTGCTCAGCAGAATGCCAGTATGCTGTGGGAAGAGGGATGTGTGTGTGTGTGTGTGTGTGTGTGTGTGTGTGTGTGTATTGGAGGAATATGTTGAGCTGAATTTCAGTTGTGTGTAGGGGAAGAGCAGCGGGTTGACGTGTGTAGAGGAATACACTGTGGTCAGGTCTCCATTGCTATGGGAAACCTGTCCTTGGGAAACACTCTGAAGCAATGAGCACGGCACACCACTGGCTTTGCTGTGTTGCCACAGCAAGCCATCTGACCAATAGAAGAGTAGCAGTGTTGGCTGAGCTATAAATAACTCAGTGTGAAGGACTGAAGGCAGTGTCTGGGCAGGACGGAGGGAGGGATGTTGGGAGGAGTGGAAGGAGGGATGGTGTTGATTAATGCGATGTCTTTTCTTTCTGTGGTGACGCCGTGGTGATGAGCACTGCATGCGCGCCAGGAGACAGAACTTAACGCACCGGCGGTGTGGGTTGACAAGCAGCAGTAAAAATGCTCATGGCAGTGGTAGTGGGTGATATACTGGTAGGAATTATTCCTAAGGTACTAGTATCACTGGTATCCCACCAATAAACCAGTTAACAATATACACGCAGTGTAAAATTGCTAATGGTAGCCCCTTAGCTCAACAGATGAGCCAGACTTCTCTTGGTAATCTCTCATCTGCCGATGCGTAGTTACACGGCAGCTGGGTCTTACGATCTGTTGCTTCAACCAAGCTGGAAAAAATGCTGAAAGCTGCTGCGATGTGCAAATCATTTAAACCCTATATTTAATTGAAAATAGTAGAAAAAAGGAAAAAAGGAACCACATATAAACAGAATCCAGAAACACCACCACCTTGTCTGGGCCCAAGCTCATTTAAGGTGGACTGAGGAGAAGTGGAAAGGTGTCACGTGGTCCGACTAATCGAAATTTGAAATTCTTTTTAGAAATCATGGATGCTGCGTCCTCTGGGCTAAAGAGGAGAGGGACCACCCCCATTGTTATCAGTGCACAGTTTGACAGCCAGCATCCATGATGGTATAGGGGTGCATTAGTGCACATGGCATGGGTGACTTGCACATCTGTGAAGGCACCATTAATACTGAACGATATATACAGGTTTTGGAGCAACATATGCTGCCATCCAGATGTCGTCTTTTTAGGGAAAGGTCTTGTTTATTTCAGCAAGACAATGTCAAACCACATTCTGCACATATTACAACAGCGCTGCTCCGTATTAAAAGAGTCCATTTAGTCCAGTTACACATTGAAAACAGTTGCCGCAAACGAAACATATGTCAAAGAAGACTCCGGACTGTTCAGCAGCCGTAATCTTATATCAAGCAAGAATGGAAAACATTTCACTTTCAAAACTACAGCTATTGGTCTCCTCAGTTCCCAAACACTTACATAGTGTTGTTAAAAGAAGAGGTGATGCAACACAGTGGTAAACATGCCCCTGTCTCATGTGCTGCTGACATAAAATTCAAAATGGGCATATATTTTTTTCAAAAAACAGTACAATTTCTCAGTTTCATCATTTGATATGTTGTCTTTGTGTTGTTTTCAATTAAATACAGGGTTTAAATGATTTGCAATTCATTGAAAATCATTTAAAGAAAGCACAAATAGTCTCCAAGGATCTGGTATCAACCAGTTCTCAGTGCTTGAGGAGGGAGTGTGTCAGTTTACATGCTACTACTGCTTCACATATGTTGCATTTAGCTGCGTTATCATTAAATTTAGTAAAGTAAGCTCACAGTTTTGAGTGTCTGACCCTTTCAGCCATGACCGAAGAGCATAGAATGATGCTCAGCATTTGAAATGGTTAAAGTAGTCACGCGAACACTTGTCACACGAAGCAGAGGGTCCCACCTGATGATCCACTCTAGCACCATGTGAAAGTGCCTGCTGTGTAGAATGAATTAAAATTACATAAATACCGATAGCAGCACCTTTTGTCCAGGAGATTGTCAATATTTCAGTGCTGACCAGTCGGGAACCGGTGGCACTTTAGTACTGGTTCTCGATACTTATCCCTAGTCTGAGTGCAGTGGTGTAACAGCATTTTGTCAGTGTGCAGTGGCTGTGCAGTAGTGCTTACTCAGTGTGTCCTGTATGCAGTAGTTACTCAGCAGTGTGCAATTGTTGTTCAACCATATATCAGTGTGCAGTGGTTTTCAGTGGTATAGCGGTGTACATATGTTTTTTTTTTATTTTATTTTATTTTATAAACAGGTTTTCTGCACTTCACTGCAAGGAGAAACAGCCTGTTGAGTCATCCTGCCACTGCTTCTGATAAGAAACAGCTGGTCTCTACCATAGAGATCTCCTCAGCTCATAACCAGAATGACATTACAGATCTGCTCATGATCAGGATTCATTTTGTGTGTCTCGCTAAGGCTGCATCAGTACATTATTTCAGTAATTGACTAATCTGTTCAAAAGTTTTGTAGACATCTGCTCATCCAAAGTTCCTACTTCATTGAGTTTGTCCCCCCTTTGCTGCAATAATAGCCTCTGCTTTTCTGGGAAGACTTTACCCTAGTTGTAGGAACGTTGCTGTGAGGATTTCATTGCCTTCAGCCACAAGAGAATTAGTTACATGATGTACTGATGCTGGATGATTACTTCTAGATCACAAACTCCACTCCAACTCATCCCAAAGGTACTGGATGGAGTTCTGTCACTCCATAGAACACAGTTACACTGCTCCACAGCTCAGTGATGGGGGTTTTATACCTCTCTAGCCGTCGCTTGGCACTGAAAGTGGTGATCTTAGTCTCGTGTGCAACTGCCCCAACATGCTCCCATTCTACTAGCAGTACTGTTCTTTGGAGATTATACAGGCTTGTATGCACAGTTTAAGTGGTGTCAGCAATAGGTGCACCTTAAAGCAGCTGAGTTCACTAATTTAGAAGTGAATTTAATATGACAAGTGACTTTTGAACAGTCAGGTGGGCCATGGGTTATATCTACAGAGACACAGAGAAGGAGAGGGAGGTAAAACAGAAAGACTGTGCTTTTCACAGGAGTATGTGAGTGAATAAGATGCATTGTAGCAGTATTTTGAAGGCTTCACCAGTCTGTATGTTTTCTCTAGGCAGCTGCGTGTCATGCTGTGTACACACAGTGGTGTGTTTGCCTGTGGGAGGACATGTAGAACTTTGTGGAGCATCTGTCAGCAGCCACAAGATTGTGCTCGTCCACACGCTCTCCTTCAGCTCACCTCTTCAGCTATTTATAGTGCTAACAGAGCAGAAATCTCTGTGAAGGGCAGCCAGCAGAGAGTCCAGTGCTGCCTGTAAAAGGCAATGCCACTTCACCGCTCTGTCTCACTGAGCTGGAGAGAGGACATTCAATCACTTTTATGGCTTTGCTGCTACATACCCCTATGCACTTTCCATTTTTTTTCCTTTTTTAAATTTTTTTTTTTTCTCTTTGTATTCTAGTAGTAAGTCCCGATGGCTTAATTACACTGTTGCACATTCATACTCAAATAATTGGGTGTACAGTACTGTGCTAAAGTCAGAGATGGCGCTTCATTTATTTAATTTCCAGACAAAATGGACATTAAGTACAAATTATTTATTTTTCAGTGTCAGTGAAAAATGCAGAAATCCCATATTACACAAAAGCCTCCAACAACTAAACTGTCCACGCTTTGCTTTTATTCCAGCTTCCGTTCTTTTTGGAAGACTTGTTTTGGAATATTTTTCCACACTTCCAAAGTTCAGTCTTAGAAGTTGGTTGCATTGTCTTTTTCTTATGATCTAAGTCTGGGGTAGTTAGTCCATTGTTCTGAGAACACAAGCAGCTCTTTTGTTTGTATACAAATTGTCTTTTTTGTTCATTTCCTTTTCTTGATATCATTTCACGTGCGTGCAGACCCCTAGCTGAGTTGTCTTCTCAGTGAAAGGATGGACGGAAACACTGGTGGGTTTTTTCAGATCTGAAGCAAGAGTGGAGCTTGGTTTTCTCCTCTCTCTCAAGGATGAAAGCTTTAAAAACTGTTTATCTGATTGTGATTGTTTCATTGGTCTACCAGGTCTTTCACAGTTGTTAGGAATCTCTGTCTTTTCTGTGTCTTTTGATAATTTTTTTGGACAGTTCAAAAAAATGATCAAAAGACACAGAAAAGACAGAGTCCTTGTAGACCACAGATTTTGGAAACTCCAAAATCGCACAAATTTTCCACTGACTTCCACGTCCCTCATGCAAGTAGATTATCTCATGTCATTATAAATTAATAACGCTCTCTCTCTCTGTGTCTCTCTCTCTCTCTGTGTGTGTCTCTCTCTCAGCACCAGCAGGAGCTCCTGGCTCTGAAGCATCAGCAGGAGCTGCTGGAGCACCAGAGGAAGTTGGAGCGGCACCGTCGTGAGCAGGAGCTGGAGAAGCAGCAGCGTGAGCAGAAACTACAGCAACTTAAGAACAAGGAGCGCGGCCAGGAGAGTGAGTAACACACACACACACACACACACACACACACACACACACACACACACACACACCCCCACACACACACACTCGGTGATCGACTAATGACTAGTAGCAGACTGTTCAAACATCATTTCCTTGTTCTGTTCCACCAAGGCCATTAACAACAGGCAAATACTATGAGAGATTGCCCAAAACTATGTTCATTTAACATCATAGTTATCTGTAGTGTTTGTTGTTTACTGCATTATTAGTTATTAATAGTTATTGGTTCACAGTACAGTGAAGTAAGTGTAGTTTTACTTTATGCTGTTACAATCTTGCATGTTCAATAAATAGCATTAGATTACAGTATCCTTCTCTTTCACAGTAGCCTTTCCTTAGTAACTATTGGCACGACTGAGTGATTTCTTCTCTCTTTCTTCTATCACAGCTGTGTTTAGCAGAGCGACAGTACTCATGTTTTTCCTCTATTATTTGGTACAGGAATGTGCCACTGACTTCATTGCGCAAGTAGAGCTGACATAATGTGAGCTCTCCTTCCATGTGTTTAAAATACCTGCATGCTTTTTCTCACTGCTCTTCCAAACCTCACAGCGCTCAACACACTGTAATGTCAGTAGATAACAACGTCAATTCAAAGCAAAATTTTGACCCAGATTGTGACTTTTTTAATGCAACAAAATATAAATTCAAGCAGTGACTCTACCCAAGACCAATAAAAATGGTCTTAACATAAACAGCTTGTGTCCACATAAGTTGACATCTGTGCTTAGGCTGATTGAATAGTTTTTTTTTTTTTTTGGCTCATCAAGCCGTTTGTGTCAGTATGATATAGAGATCCTAGAGATGGACACTTTGAGTTGCCAATGGTATGCGCCTTAGGCAAAAACACAGAAATAACCCAGAGCTGCATTAGATATTCAGTGAGCAGGCTTACTGACAGCCAGGCCAGATGGACCAGCTGCCTATTTGAGTTTAAATAAGGATGTGATGTGAAACAATGCATTAGTAGAGAAACTTATGGACCTGAATTTTCTGTACAAGTGTGGTGATGGACACCAGGGGTTTCAATATCAATAATGCAGGTAATACCTTATTTTGAGTGGTCATTTGTAGATGACTCTTAACAGAGTATCAGTAATGCATCAACAACATATTAGTGAAGTAGCAGTAGTGCAGCATCTGAATACACTGACTTTATATGTTACTTCCATTGCGCAAAACCAAACTTTACCCAAAACCTAGCCCTGACCCACACTTAAACCTAGCCCTAATCCTAACCCTAACCTTAACCCACCTAATCCAGTTAAGCTCCATATACTGAACGGTGTCAGCAGCATGTCTGTAATGGCTTATTGAGGTTGTTAAGATGGTCTGTATTATAACAGTTACATGTTCAGTGACTTCTCAGCTTAAAATCTACAGATATGAACTTGGACCCTCAAAATAAAGTGAAAACGGAGTTCAGCAGATTATGAACAAATTTTATTTGCGCAGTTAGTCAAGTCTCTTGATAATCTACTAATTTTTAAATTCACTGCTGTTACGTCATTGATATGTTACTGAGTCTGTTGAGTGTTTATTTCATCTAAAAAAGGCAGCGCAAAATCACGTCTCAATAATGCAGATAATACTAAAATATTGGTAAATCTGGGAAAAAAAGTTTTTTAGGCACTATTTTGCCTTAGAATGCCCTTCAGGTACCTTTCCATCACAAATGTATTTAAAAAAAAAAATGCGTTTTAGGCCAATAGCTTTTGTAAAACGATCATAAAACAATGTCTCAAACACCAGGCATTCCTCACTCTTTGTGTATTCTTAACCATTTCATGTAATAACTTTTTGTGAGGTAGGTTTTAGAAACATTAAACACATGTCTGATTCCTATCACCACCACCATAAACAATTCTGATGTGGTAAGTGTTCTAAAACAGCATTTTGCATCAAATCAGACTGGCTATGTCTTAACTATTTAATTATGAAGAAATTCTGAAAAAATGGTTTGCTTCCCCTTTAAGCGTTTGCAAGTTTCTGTTGTTTATTTGAGTTGAGGAATTTGAAGATTGGGAAGTGATGAGTAATAAATGAGAACTGAATGTCCATCAGTAAAGCACTGTTTAAACTATTGGAGTCTGTTTTCATTTTTGAACATATATAGTTGTATCAGCTGTTATCAGTGGATCCAAACCTGATATCAGTATATTAGACACAGTGTTCCTGTGTCCCGGACCCTATCGTGAACCCGTGAATCTTTCCAGCCGTGTTTCGGTAAGTGTCCCGGTGTGTTAGCCGTGCTGAGAGAGCGCAGCCTGCAGCCTCCGCTGAGATTAGAAACTGCTGCTTCTTCATTCTGTTCTGTTGCTGCTGACAGTTGCTTTCTTATCCGCCACCTGAGACGCTGACACTGTGGTCACCTGTTGCCTGCTGGGAGTGTTTGTTGCCTGGCGGCGGAAGTTTGCATGTGTGCGTCTCTGTGTGACTGTGTGAAAGCTGGCAGCGGCCCCTGGGGGCTTGTTTACAGACGATGGGAAAGGTGGCAATTGAAGAGAGAGCTGTTAGAAAACACTCCGTCAGAAGTTCCTCCTTTAAAGAGAGAAAAAAAACACAACTGTGTTTAACCGTCAGAGTCTCTGTGGTGTCGTTCTAGGAATTCTGTCTCTTTTAGAGAGGAAGAAAAGAGAAAACCTAAACACGCTGACGTGTGGGTGTGTCTGATGGGCGTGTATTGTATTCAGTGAGACCTAAGGTTTTGTTTTGTTTTTTTTTCCTGCAACCCAGGAGTGTAAAGGTGTTTCTAACACTGATCAGTGTGGAACACCATGAGTCTCTACCGTTTCAGTTAAACAGGGAGAAAGAGAAAAATAACATTCTCATCAGGCTTTCTGAATTCACCAAACAAGGGGAAAGCAGCGTCCTCAGCAGATGAGAGGTCTAAGGCTATGTTCAGACTGACAGCCTAAATCCAATTTTTGGCTTCTCCAGACTGATTTTTAATAGTCTGGACAGCTAAAAATCACATGAAATCAGATTTTTGAAAATCGGATCCAAACCAGGTTTTGAGGTGGTTTGAAATATGATTCCAATCGAATTTTTCCTGATGTGTCTCAGTCTGGATGTTCTGGCCACTCAAATCTGATTCGATGTCAAACCCAGAGTGATGGTAGTGCTGGGATTCAATCAGAGCGCCAAAGATTCGTGCTTATGCGAGAGAAATTTGAAGAGGTTGGAGGGCGAGATGATGCACCTCCATCCCTCCTGTATCCACGTTTGAAATCCGCATCACCTGAATAGCTACATAGTTACTGACGCCTGTGCAGCCTTTGCAGGTAGGTTGGTGATATCTGGACACACAAATTCGACAACAGTGCAGACAGTCGTCTCAAAAGATCTGATTTGAGAAACAAATCCGATTTGCCTGCAGTCTGATATTCCTGAATCTTTAAGCAAAGGCTTGTATAGATAAACTGTATGTCATATAGTGTCAGATCAGCATTTTATTTGAGATTCCTTAACAATTCATTGCAGTTTGAGGCAAGTGTGTGATGATTCAGGCATGCGGTTTGGGCCAGAGAATGTGAGCGAGGTGGAGCACGGTTCTATAATCACTCTACTGCACTCTGTTTTATATTTCCCACACCTCACTTGCTTTCTGCTAACACAGCAGAGAAAACCTACTCTATGCCTGCTTGGTATGATTCATTATTATGATTAAGGGTGCAATTAATGATGATTTCCAAAACCGATTAATTGGGAAATGAAAAGTCGTGGCCAGTAGTCTGTCAAGAACTAAATATTTCACGTCCTACACAATATTCCTTTCAACAAATTTCAAACAAAGATTATGCCTCCTTTTGCACAGCACTCATTCAAACATAAAATGCCATCATCATACCTTTATCAAGATCTACAATGCCACAAGATGCCCCCTACATTGCCCTCAAAGACGCTAATGTACTCAGTGTGAAAGAGGCAGGAACAGTAAAGGAGCAACAGATGAGCAAATCTTACATGGCAGTCCAGGTACTATTACAGAGATTCTGCAAGAACTTCACATTGCCATTCTAATTAATTCTCCTGTAATGATAAAGCAAAGATAAATGAATCAGTTGTGTGGTCGCAACATCATGTGATCTAAATTGATATTACTGAGCACACAGAAACAGCCCGATTATCAGCCATGTCAGATCTGCAGGCCCATAATGCATGTTCACCACTCGTCAAAGAGCAGTAAACGTGCGCGTGATGTCAGCGTTTTCTAAATCATCCGTCCACATGAAAGCATAGAAACCAGAGTTCTTAAAACCTCCACTCTGGAGAGCATTTTGCCAAAGCTCCATGTTCAGTGACTTAAACCATCGTTTTCATGCTGGCGAGAGGCCAAAACGCAGAGAGAGTGCGCTGTGAGCAGGTCTGTGAGTATTAGCGCACTAGCAGCGAATAAGTATCATTTATCCATGCAGTTTACATTAACATGCAGCTCATCCCACCAGCCAATGTTTATTTTGTAAAAACCAAAACGGAACTCACTGTAAAGCGGACAACGACACGCTGTTTTTAACTTTTGACTCCAGTTTTCCTATGATTTACTCAGCATGCTGAGCTTTTGTCATTTTCTGCTGTGCATGGGTTTCTCTGCATCCTCACGCATGACCGTCAAAGGTGAGCTCAGCTTTACCCATCTTACAGGAAACTGTCATTTTAGACGATGTTAAACTGGTGTTCCCATATTTTTGACTTTCTGAGTCATAACCTTATACTGTAGTCTCCACCGTCTGTGTTTTCCCCCCTTCATTCACGTAATATAAGCAGGGAGAGCAAACGTCATCATGACAGCTAATTGATAACAAGATCAGTTGCCAACGATTTGTTAGTGTTAGCGATAACGATAAGCTGATGTAGCCTTAATTGTGATTACATCTTGAATATATGGACGAGGCACTGCACACTTCATGAATTATGTAATTTATAGTTGTTATTAAATGAAAAACCCGTTCAATATTTTATTCTACACAGGATTTTCTTTTAGACTTGAAATATCTAAATCCAGAAGGTCGCAACCCAGAAAACTGCAGACGATAAAGAAATGTATATGATAAAAAAATCCAAAATGGTAACTTTACAGGAAAAGGAAAAAACCTACTTTACTTTTAATGTAAGTCAATGCAACCAGACTTTTTTCCAAGTCATTTCGGGCTGTGTCTTTTGGTCCATTCTTCATGAAATTTACACACAATGTAAAGAGCAACAGGCATTTTCAAATTATGACAAAAACTGAAAAACAAAAATGGAGATACAAGGTTTTCTTCCGACAGCAGCGACATGCTTTTAACACAGCGTGTTACCAGTCACTCAGAAAAATCCATGACGTGAGACTTTGTCTAAATATCTGCACAATTTTGTTGAGATCAGTGTTATTTCCAGTATAGGCCCTTGGTAGTCTTTCTGTTAATGGTGTATTATGGATGGCCAGCATGTGCTCGCTACGGCAGTCATGTTTTTCCATCACTAATATCACACAGAGGTAGTATGTGTGGGAAAAAAGGCTCATGGAAGGGAAATGTAACAGAGTGAGAGAGAACATCGATGCTCTGAGTTTCCAAAAAAAGCAGCTCTTCTAAATTGCGCCACTCCGATTTCCGCTCCTCTCAAACTCTGCACCCCTCACATACTCTGGTGGGTGTTAGGTGAAGTTCAGGAAGTGAAGTTCAGACACCAAAATGTTTTGGTAGACCAGCATGCATTTGGAGTTTGGGGGAAAAATGTAATTAATTTTGTGCCGAACAATTGCTTTAAACTGAATACATCACTTGATCTCTCCTGACTGCTCACGCTTTTTGCTAAGAAGTCTTTCAACGAGTATTGAGAAGTCCTGGAGACACATATAAAGCAGTACTGCTGTGTGATTGGCAGGTGCAGTGGCCAGTACGGAGGTGAAGATGCGTCTGCAGGAGTTTGTTCTGAATAAGAAGAAGGCGCTGGCCCAGAGGAGCCTCAACCACTGCCTGCCCAGTGACCCTCGCTACTGGTACGGGTGAGTAATACGCCGGCCTTGTGGGAGGGTGGGGAGCTGGAGCGGCTTCTGAAACAGACACCTTACACAACTTCAAACACGCACTCCTTCAGGAGAAGCTGAAATATCAAACATCCTCCCATCACACAGGCGCCACACTTCAAAGCGTATCTGCACTTGCAAGGTGAGCGACAGTCACGCAGCCAGACAGCAGTCACAGCTCTTTTCAGGAATTTGGCCCAGAAAGTTAGACATGTCTGGAGTTCCTCATTACTTTCTTGACTGACATGTTATTTTTTTCCCTTTACTCAAAGTTTTCAGTAAAAAAGGGGGTGTCTGTCACCTCTGGGTTGTTGAGACATTTGAAGAGGTTTTGAGGACCAGAAGTTTCCCCGTGTGAAAGATAACAGACATAGCAGCAGGTTCTAAAGGAAATGTGGATGCACACACACACACACACACACACACACACACACACACACACACGCACACACACTTAGCTGTGAGCCTCTGATAGTGGAGGATTGCGCTTTCAAGTGTACAGGCTGAATATTAGCATTTTGGGGTTCTTTTTTCTCCTCCCTCGCCGCTCAACTGCTCCTTTTCATGGACTTATGTCTGGAAGAAGCAAGATAAATGCTTATAGTGTGAATGAGAGTGAGAAAAGAAAAAGATGGGCAGTCCACTAAGTTTCTGTAAACGTACTGGACTTTACAGACAATAGTGATGGGTCAAAGTAGGACCATCACTATCAATTATAAGTAATCTATGAGTACACCATTAAAAAGTAATCATGCAATCTGCTGATTTAGGCAATTTATTTTGTAAAGTTTTTCAAAATGGCCAAACTGTAAAAGTGGACTGAACAATAACAAACCATGGACAGCCTTTTAAAGATTACAGCATTCTTTTTTGATAAAAGATAAACAAGCAAATATTTAACAAGACTTTATTAATAATGTATATAAAAAAGCTCGCATTTCTCTTATTCCATCAGTCTGTAACCTAAAGAAGGATTTTTGTATTTATATTTTTTTATTGGCAGTATTTTAGCCTTTTTATCTTTTTGGTTAAAATTGAATGAATGCTAAAATGTAGTGTGCATGCACTGTTGAGTCTCCCTGTAAAACCTGGAACAATCATTTGAAAATCAGAGACATCAGGTCGGATTTTGCAGAGGTTCTTCAGACCATATCATATGTCTTTGCATCTTAATCTCACATGCACAGGCTCAAAAAGAAGTTATGGCTCATGTTTAGGTCTGATGAAGATATGACAACATTAGTGGATAATTCTCTGATAATTCTCGGAAGACACGTCCTTCACCATGAGGTCTTGAAATCCCCAAGCATAGCTACATAGTGTAGCTTTTAGAGGCAGGACATTTTGTAATAGCTGTATGAGTGGACAAAAAAAGCTTCATCAGAATGTTCTTCTAAAGTAATTCAGCAGCTCTGTTTTCATGTTGTATGTATGCAGGATTTACATAAACTTGAAGAAAATCATGTGATTTCCATAGAGTTAACACAGTGATTTTCATCACTGGCATTTAGTGGGACAAACAGTGGTTGAATGATCCAACCAGTGAGTGTATATGTCGTGTCAAATACCCAGTCAGTAGTCAGCTCCTCCATGACTGTAGCTCTCTCATACCACTCCTTTACATCTTGTTGATTTATTTAGTTCTCCTGCGAGCATTGACCAACATAGTCTCCCAAAGGTGTTCTCCAGTGCTAACACAACTGATATTGTTGATATTGCCAGCATTAGCAGTGTATTTTGCTTACTTAAGAATCGTTCAGTGATAAATGTAGCTACGGGAAATCTTTAAGGGCCGTGGATTTTTTAATCATCACTCGGTTTTTTCCATGTTAACATGTTTTTTTTTTTTTCATTTCTTTCCTTGACCTCTGAAGTTATTTATATCATTATCATGACATAACAAATGTTATTTTCACAAGATCTCGATATATATTTATATATGCTCATATATACGTGTGTGTGTGTGTGTGTGTGTGTGTGTATATATATACATATAATATAGAGGCTTCGGGCTGGAACTAAGGACAGTTTGAAGGGTCAAACTAGGAAAATACGTTAACAGCGTTGCAGAAATAGTACCATTTAATAATTTATCTCGTTAACTCTTTATGTGGCCTGAAAGCTAGTAAGTGGGTGTGTCCTTCGCTCTCTGCTTCTTAGAGTACGACAGAGCAGAAAGAGAACTTATCATTGCAGCCAACCTATCATTGCAGATTAATCAAGAAGGTACGTTTTAATCTGTGATGTTTTAAATGTGTAATTTAGTTGAATTAATGAATCATGACAGCCCTAGTTCAAAGTTTCCTACTCACATTCTTTATTTTCAGATTCACTCTGAAGGCCCACCTTTTGGTCTTCTTCAAAAATAGTGGTCCATCAATAAAACATTGTTTACTGCTTCGCCTCTCCAGTAAGATCAACAGTGACAGGTGAACAAAAGGAAGCTGCAGCAGAGCCAGTATGTTTTATTAATCACAGCATTTATTCTCACTTGGTTGAAATGCAAGTCATTTCAGCTAATTGCAGCATACTCCACAAACACATCACTCAGGCTCTTAAACGAGCAGCATGTTTTGGATGGCGACGAAGCAAGGTGAGGTGAACAGGCTGATTTGGATGTGTGCCAGGTGTTCTGACATTGCGCAGATGTAGGAAAACATCAGCCTTTTGTCTCTGTTTGAGCTAGAATTTTCAGTGCTATGCTACTAATATTTTTTTGTCCAAAAAGTCGACACTCAAAAAGTAAAAAATAAAAAGCACAAAAAACATGATTATCATCATGATGTTGCCTTAATCAGGAAAAAGTTCTCTGTGGTAGAAGGTGGAGCTGTTTGACGATGACGATGCTCTGTTGTTCCTGATTCTTGATCAGTCGTATCTGTTGTGCGTGTGAGAAAGAGAGTGTTTTTGTGTTTGTGTTAGTAAACAAAAAGCCTCCAACACCTGAGGCCCATTGTTGCTGTTATACTCTAGGCAAGCCTGCCCTTTGTTTAAACCAATGGGCTATAAACACGTGACTATTGAAATCTGTTACAGCCATTAGGATATTTATTTCAGCCTTTTTCTGTAGGACTGATTGTAATGTAACTTCATACACATCCATCAGTTGGTTTTCATGATTTTATAAAGTAGATTAAATGCAAAGAGCAGTTTTTTAGATTTTTTGGTATTCTTTTATAAGTGTTCATTATTTAGTCCAGTCCTGTAATGCCACTTTATGGAGAAGGTCAGTTTTTGACAGGGAGGGGTTTTTAATTGGAGATGAAATAATATTTTGAATGTTGTTTTGAGGTGGTTTATGATGTCTGAGGCTGTCTGGCTGGACTAGGTGATGTTGACTCTTTGGGTTTTGGTTAGGCTTCCTGTTTGGATCACTGCTCCAGTCAGAAAGGGACCGTTCTCCTTTGGACATTTCACTAAGCCACTATAATCATTTGTGTTTGTAAATGTAGCTCATATAGGTAATTCATAAAGTTAAATTCACTTGTTTGTCATTACTTTTGCTTTCAGTTTAAATAGAAAGTGTCTTTTTTGTGCACTCACTGCCACCAGAAAAAAAATAAAACGAGATAAAATCATGTGGGCCACAGACTCAGCTTCACCTTCTCCTGAGTAACCCTGAGTTATTTTGTGTTTTCTGCAGGAAAACCCAGCACAGTTCACTGGACCAGAGTTCTCCCCCTCAGACAGGGATTTCCACCTATAACCACCCGGTGCTGGGCCTCTACGACTCCAAAAACGACTTCCCGCTCCGCAAGACAGGTAAAATGCCTTCCTGCTCCGCCAGTCAGATAACTCTGCTTCCTCTGACGCAACTACAGCACACTTATCTCTCTTTAGCTGCTTCCTGGTTCAGGCCCATTTAGAGCAGCCGTTTAAAAATGACTCGATCTCTGTCTCACCCCCTGCATGTTGATCCTGCACACAGATAGCGTTCAGTTTTTGTACATGTAGTACTGCAAGAGCAGGCATTCCGTCACAGAGGTTGCATTTTTGTGCAGTGGAGCACAACTAAACCACGTTCTCTGGAACGTATTTAGCAATGCATCTCTGGGTGCGTTGGCTGAGAAGAACTGCCTGTTCTTCAGAGAATGCACAGTGTGAACATTTCAGGCCTCATGCATGCTCAAAGACAAACAAACTGGAGTAATGGTGCAGAGCCGGTGTGAGGAGGCTTGCGGTCAGGTACTAGAGCCGGCCAATGGAAACGCTGGCTGGAGGAGAGTGGTATTGAGGTTTTATTGCTCAGCCAAAATCTCCAGATCTCCGGTCTCAAGGACTTTGTAGTGCTCAGTATCACGTCTAGTCTACACGTGTAGGAGTTGATCAGTGTCTGAAAATAAGTACACAATCATGATGTGCGTTGTAAATTGCTAATATTGGGACAACTGCTCCAGTGTTGTTTATGTTTGTCTGTTTGGCTATGAATTTAGGGACATTCCACTAGCAAAGCCTGCATACATGCAGACTCTATGGAAGTTCACACGATCCCCCTTGTCGACTTGAAGAATGGCAGAATCGGACGGATAGTACTATGGCCCTGTGGACTTTGCCTGTAGTCCGTGGGTCTGCAAGTCCAGAGATTTAGATTGGCCGTTTGTCTTTATCCCAGCCGTCTGTTAGCAGATTACTTTGCTACTGCAGACAGGACGGCCTTCGGTCCCAAAAGGCTGAGCGGCCCTTTTCAGCACATGAAAGGCCTGTCAGCAGGCCCTGTGAGTTTGGATTAACGAGGAAAGCGGCCAACAGTTGAGCCCAGGGGCATCAAAGGAATGTACTCTCTATCTCTCTCTCTTTTTCTGTCTGCCTTTTCTCAGCCTGTCTTTGTTAAGTCTCCCATCAAACTCCCACAAGGAGCACTTCACCCACTATCTCCTCCTGCCAGACCAGAAGAGAAGAACGAAGGAGGGAAAGAAGTAAAATGGAGAGATGAGCCTTTAACTCACCTGAAGTTTCTCTTGCACTCATCTCAGTAGGCAGCACAAATGAACCGCTCAAATCTCTTTCACGAATTCGCACCACAGCTTCACACATCACTTACAGTCTGTGTGCTGAGAGGAATGCATGTACGGATGGGAAAATGAAAGCACCAAATTTTGCAGGCAGAAAAAAAGAAAATAGACAAGTATGGACTTTAACTGGTGCTCATTGGAGCGGTTCTGCGAGGCTGCCAGCAGAGCTGCTCTGCCCAGGCTTTGTGTTCAGAGAATGACTGATGGAGTCGGTCTGCTTCTCACCGCATTGTTAAGTCTTGGCATGCAGAGGAAGGCGTGTGATGGTGATGGCTTTTACTTAGCTCCTCGCTCCCTTACATCCACAATACATTCTTGAAAAATTGTTTGAAGGTAGAGCTGTCCCTGGCTAAGTTTTTTTTTTTTGGTTTTTTTTTCCCTCAAGCGACTTTTAAAATACCAACATATTTTGAAAACAAAGTCACAAGACCACTGATGACTACTGATTCGGGGGTGAAATGTGGAAATTTTTTACACTGCAAAAATAAAACAATTCTCAAACGTGCTCACCTGGCACTTTCATGAGGAACACCAGTACATCTACTCATTCATGCATTTATCTAATCAGCAAATCATGTGGTAGCAGTACAGTGCATAAAATCATATTCATCAAATTCATCAACTACGAGAAGGGGGAAAACATGTGATCTCAGTCATTTTGACCGTGGCATGCTTGTTGGTGCCAGACAGGGGCTGGATTGAGTGTTTCTATAACTGCTGATCTGGGATTTTCACGCACAACATTCCCTAGAGTCTGCTCCGAATGGTGAAATAAAGAAAAAAACATTCAGTGAGGGGCAGTAATTCGACTCAGAACACTTGAGAGAGGTCAACAGAGAATGAACATACTGGTTCGAGCTGACAGAAAGGCTACGGAAACTCAGATAACCACTGTACAGTTTTGTTGATCAGAAAATTATCTCAGAATGCACAACACGTCAAACTTTGAGGTGGATGGGCTACAACAGCAGAAGACCGTGTCGGGTTCCACTTCTGTCAGCCAAGAACAGAAAGCTTCAGTGCGCACAGGACTCCCCAAACCTGGACAATTGAAGATCAGAAAAACGTAGCGTGGTCTGATGAATGTCGGTTTCTGCAGAGACACACAGACGGCATTAACGGCATGAATCCATCGCCCCAACCTGCCTTGTGCCAATCGTACAGGCTGGTGGAGGTGGGGTAATAGTGTGACAAATGTTTTCTTGGCACCCTTTGGGCCCTTTAATGCCAGTCAGTCATGTGTGAATTGCTTGACCATGTGCATCCTTTCATGGCCACTCTTTACCCATTTTTTAATGGCTGCTTCCAGCATGATAATGCGCCATGTCACAAAGCAAAAGTTGTCTCATGCTGGGTTCATGAACATGACAATGTGGTCAGTGTTCTTCAGTGGCCTTCCCAGTCACTGGATCTGAATCCAGTAGAACATCTCTGGGATGTGGAACGGAAGATTCACAGCACGAAAGTGCATCTGAAAAATCTGCAGGAACTGCATGATGCAGGCATGTTAACATGTACCAGAATCTCAAAGGAATGTTTCCAACGTCTTGTGGAATCCGTGCAAAGAAGAATTAAGGATGTTTTGAGAGCCAAGGGAAATATCTACCATTTACAGTCCACTACTGTAGTTCTCAAATAAAAAAAATATGTAAATATATAAATACAATTAGTTGACTGCCAGAACATAGTTTTGAATTTCCTTGTTGCATATTAATTGTCAAAAGACAGAATTGTCTGTAGAGATCATGTTTCATGTACAATGTCAACCACCGCCTTGTAAAAGGTCAATCAAACCAAATATTTTCTCACTGTTTGAGCGTAGATGTTTTAGACTTTTGGATGTTTTAGACTTTTTTGTGAACTGTCACCAAAGAACAACATTTCTCATGTATTACTCCTGGCTGTAGTTGACCAAGAATGCTTCGACATGGAAGCTGATAAGTGGACATGGAAGAGGCGGCTCTAGAAGAGGGAAAGGTCATGGTAGATAGGGACTGCAGCATACCCTGTATAAGTTGGGTTCCTTTAAAAAGAGCGATGACCAAGAAGTCTGCATGATGCGGTTGTAGAGTGGGTCTGAGCTGGGACTGTGGACCTAAAGCTGCTTCTCTCTGCAGCAGAGCTGTACTTAGGGGCCTTCCCTGCATGCACTCACCTTAGGCTGCCTGAGATTAGCCCACTGTTCTCATTAATCACACTGGAAAGGGACCTGTCAGGTTACTGCAGTGCAGCCCCAAGCTACACACTCAGATACCCCTGAGACACCCCAGCAATTACAGCAGGGGTGGGAGGGGGTACATTACAGCTACAATATGCCTGTCACTGAGACAAGTGAGAGTGGGTGTATATAACTCCATAGAACAGCAGAACACCATAGCCTAGAAGTTCAGCACACTGCAGGGCCTGCCTGCTGGCTTTGTAATGCCATTCCTTGGCATTTGGTAGTACTTTAAGTACAAATTAGCAGTAAAGCATAATGGAGTATTGCGTTCAGCAACGTTCCATTATGTTATAGCAACCACCTAATTATTATTCTATGCCTGTTGTTAGCTTACAGTAGTAGGTATGGAAAGTCGTGTGTTGCTAAGAAGCAAAAGCTCACAGTGGTCTGTACATTTGTAAAAATTGTTTGGTCTTTAGTGCATCCAAAGATTGTACGTCAGATACTTTTTTCCACAGTCTGTGAGTCTTTGGCCAATTAAGGCACGTTTTGCAGCACAAAAAGAAACTAATGAGCTGGGGAAGCACACAGGTCTACAACATTCAGGAAGCTTATTTTTTTAAGGGGGGAAAGAATCTAAACCTCACTTAAGTGTTCCCTCTGTATAGTGGCAGTTCTTCACTTTGTGGCCAGGCCTGTCTGGGTGTTGATTCCAGCGCTCCCGCTGTAGATAAACCTCAGTTTGCTCTGGCTGCCACAGCACATTCCTCCGCTGGGAACGGGGAGAGCAGGGCTTACGGCTGCAACCAGTAGTCCACAAAGTCGATTAGCTGACAGTGATTATGGGAAAAATTTGATGTTATTTACTTAAAAAACAAAAGCGCTTTATGGCTGGCACAATTACCTGATTAAACTTGATTTCACGGTTTTAAAAAAATGTGTTCAAATTAATCTTCTCAAAAAACTCCCTGACTAGTTGCCAGTTTGCATAATTTTTCTTTTTTCTATGCTGCATTTTTATTTAGTTATTTATTTTTGTATCTCTGTGGTCCACTTGTGATGTTTGTATGGGTTTATGTACCAAAACAGTCTAATTCATTTTTTACATGACTATTTTCCAGCCTCTGTTTCTCCCTTAGAATTAGACTGTTTTTGTTTCCATACCTTTATGACAAATTCATGTAATTGACCTCAGTTTTGACTGGCTTCCCTGATTTATTCAAAAAGCAGAGTGGACTGACTTTAACGTGACTTTAACTTTAATTAGCTTTGACTGGGGGAGGTACAGTGATGCAGACTGAATAGGCTGATATATGTGAGTGTGTTAAATTTCATGGCCTCGCAGAAATAATGAATTCAAACTAGGCTGTTCTTGCAGCTTATTTCCAGTATATGGACAGTATGAACTGTGGAATGATTAATACCTTTTGAAATATTTACATACTGCTACATCAACTGTTTATCAAAAAAGCAAGGTTTTACAAAATATGGCCCATTTAAGTTCCTTTACTGGTCTCTTTTACAATAATAACCTCTTACAGTAAGAAATGCAGTACTTTTATAGGCGTCCTAGTTTAGTTTCGTCTTTG